GTAGAGCACATGCTCATAACAAAAGCCTAGGGAGGTAATGAGAAATCAATTATAGCAAATATAAAACCATGAGGCAACGCGAAATACCTAGAAATTTCAATAAAAGCTTAAGTCAACATAGCAATAACTACAACTTATCAAGGAAAACAAACAGAGCTAAATTACGAGTCCACAAACAAAACAAAAAGTCTTGCGTATTAGATTAGTAAAGAAGTGAAGCAACACCGGCTACAAACTTTACAGGTTGTGAATTGGAAAATATGTCGAAATGCAAAGCAAACAAAATTCAAATCATACAAACAAAGGCTAAATCTTTACCATATGTTCATTAGTACGACCTTTGATAAAATGAGCAAAAACCAGCAGTGCACCTTTCCATACCATCGGAAAAAAGGATCTATTCACACAAAAAGGTACACCATACAAAGTTCAATACAGAAAACGCTTTTCCTAGTGCATTTCCATATTCAGTGTATTAACACAAACTTTTATCTGATTTGATTATTTGAGTTAATCTCTTCCAGAGGAAAGAATCAAAACAGTCAACTAGCATGCGTGGACTTTGATAACTATGAATTGAAGATCAAACCATAAAAAAACTAATGATGAAAGTACTCCAGATTTTTGACAGAAACTCCAATATGCTCTACCATCACCATTTTACCGGCTATAATCTTAAATTTATCAGCACGGACTTGATCTAAGACACATTCGTCATTAAACATGGTTTTTTGTCCATCAACACAACCAAACCATGTTGTTTTTCAGTCCTTACCTTCTGTTCCTAGATTCTAGTTTCTGTCATTATTATTACAAATCTATCTTATTTAAGTAAAATTTACTCTGGATTAAACATTATTTTCCAGTTGCCTAACATTCTACACTTATCGTAACATGATTCTTCATTAGATAATATAATTCTCCTTTCAATTTCATTGAGTACATCTATTTAAGTAGTAGGCGAATGCACTCTGCCACTTGGCCGATCTATTTCCAGTGCATATATGTTGAGTTATTTCTGCATCTTTGTCAATAATTCTGCCAAGTATCTAATTTATTGTTTCGAGGGTATTTCTTGACTCCCAAATAACATACTCTATTTATTCAAATTCTTTTGCATCTAGCTCGTCTTCCAGTTAAATCTTCTTTAGATACAACTTCAAAGTTGAAATGTGAGTAAGACAAGATGACTAATGCCAATGATGAGGAATAGTGGTTTCTCTTTATTAAAGAAAAAAGGAATAGTGATGTCTCTTATCAAATTTAATGAACAAAAGAACAGTTTAAAAAATTGGATGACGACTTTACCACAACAGTTTATCGACCTATTCTTCATTGTCACACTCATATTTTAAGTCAATAATCACACATCATTATCCCCACAACTACAACCTACCCACTAGTATCAAACAGCCACAATATCTAACAAAATGGAACTTACAATTACATAAATAGTAGTACTAATACCTACCCAATACCTAATTCATCACTAATTATCCATTATCAAATATCACTTACTTGAGCACCAATTAAACAATCCAAGAAAGGCAAGATCATTCATAGCCAAATATCAGTATAACCAACTGAGATCTCCAAAAATTACTAAAACAAACAACTCTACCAATAATAACAAGAACGCAATCAACTTCCAGAACAAATGCAATCTTTGAACTCACAGAAAGCGGAGTCGCACAAAGACACATTTTCTGTCTGGAAAACCAAATGGGTATCTCTAAAAGTTGAAGAAAAACAATAATTTCACCAAGAAAGAGAGCAACCAACTTCAAACACAGACTAAACATTGCGATGTTTAACTTCATACATCAGGAAACCAAATGGGTATCACTAAAAATTGAAGAAAACAATAATTTCATCAAGAAAGCGAGAGCAATCAACTTAAAAAAAAAAACACTGCGAAAACTCACTTCGTACATCAGGAAACCAAATGGGTATCACTAAAAGTTGAAGAAAACAATAATTTCATCAAGAAAGCGAGATCAATCAACTTCAAAAAACACTGCGAAAACTCACTTCATACATCAGGAAACCAAATGGGTATCACTAAAAATTGAAGAAAACAATAATTTCATCAAGAAAGCGAGAGCAATCAACTTCAAAAAACACTGGGAAAACTCACTTCATACATCAAAAAACCAAATGGGTATCACTAAACATTGAAGAAAGCAATAATTTCATCAAGAAAGCAAGCAATCAACTTCAAACACAAAGGAAACGCCAAGAAACCAAATGGGTATCAGTAAAAATTGGTGAAAAAAATTACCATCTCCTTTGGTACGTGAGGATCCAACGCAACCCATTGTAACAGAGTCGCCCGAAAATTGAGTATTCAAGAACAGCTGAGCCGATCTCGGGAATCAAATTCCCAGTCAATTATTGACAACTGAATAAAATGTTGATGGAGAGAGTTTAATATGCAAAAAGGGGAAATTTTGTGCTTCTTTAGAGGAGTATTATTGCGTGCTCACAACTCTCCCAATGACAGCTATGTAGTGCTATATATATAGTTTTTTCCATTTCTCTGATTTTGGGTGAAATTAGAAACTTCTAAGTCTACAGAGAAGAAGAAACAAGAAAGTTTAGAAGAAACCAAAAGCGAGTCCACCGTCATTCAATTCTTTATTTTTATATTTTATTTAATTAAATCACATTAAAAACAAATATTATTTACTAAATCAAAATTATAACTAAATGTAATTTCATCTCCAACTCAAATTACAACATTTTCATATAAAGTGAAAAATATTTATAAAAGCATTGTATTTAAAATATTTAAAGCACTTCTATAGTTTTACAATTTGAGTCACAATCAAGATCTATAAACATTTTCTGTTCTTAAAAAAAAATAAAAAATCTTTCTATATTTTGAAAAAGTTTGTCTAACAAAAAAAAACAGTTTATATTTCTTTGATATTTTATGGCAAAGTAATTCTAAATGCCGGAAATTTTAATTTATGATTTATAATGTTTTTTTTTCATAAAATAACTTGTTTAAATGTTGATTTTGGATTGGCAAAAAAATTAGTTTATAAAGATTTTTTTGTGTGTGTGAATGAAAAAGCTAAAGATAACGAAAATGAACTCGTTTGAATTGACTTAAAAAAATAATTTTTAATAGTATTAAAAAACTGTAAGATGATTTTTTTATAGCTAGTATAAGAATAGATTTAAATGGTAATTTGTAAGTATCTTTTAATTATGAATCTATGACTAAAGACATTTAATTACGTAAAAATCTATGCAATTGTAAGACGAATATCATGCACATGGGTGGGAACTTTCACCTTTTTGGAGGCTTTTTTCATTTCGTATTGTATTGTGTTGTATTGATGATATAAATATAGGGAAAAAAAATTGGTCAGAAAATTTAGTCAGAATTTGATCAGAATGATATTTTATTTATGTTATTTTTATTTTTTTGAACATTTTTACCCTTTTAACTTAATACCTTTAAATTTTAAAAATAGAAAAAAGATCAATTTATTTTAAACTATAAAAAATATATTATAATTTTTTTAAATGTTTAGCCAAATTTTAATCAAATTTTCTGGCTATTTAGCATTACCCTTAAATATAACGGGTATTTTGATTGTTACAAAATTTTTATTGTACCATATTGTTTAAATTCATCATTAGATAATAATGAAACACTCATTTTATATAACAATTGATTTGGTGTGATGGTATGTAAAAATATTTTTTCTCATTTTGTCTTTATTTATTATTTAATAATCATATTTCATTTTTTATCCTATATTTTCATAGTAGCTCTACTCTATACTCAATTTTTTTTTTGTTTATCATTCAAATTATGAATGTGTACATTATTTAACAACGAAGAACTATACAATCTATCCAAATATTGTATTCATTAAAATAATACAATACGTTATAACGATACATTATGAAACAATATGTAACAGTCATTCAAACAATAGTTATTCTTATCCTAACAATAGTTTATTCTTATTTTTAATAGCTTAATACATAAATAAACATGTTTTTTTCACTTCGCATTAATTAATTATATACCCATCTCGATTTAAGATCTTCGTTAGGGTTGTCCAGATCAGAGTTCTCCAACCCATATTGTGATGTACCATTTTCTCTTTTAGTAATCCGTTCACTCGTCTCCGAAGAACAAGCAGCAGAAGCCGAACCTTCGGGACGTGTTTTTGAAGCTTCTTCACTCAATTTATTATCAATTGTGTCACTACTTCTTCCTTCTTAGGCTTTTCCTCTCTGAGAGAAGCCCTTTGCATAAACTTCAAGTTCCTCAAGGTACCAGATAGTTCACGCTTGGCCATTCTGAACAACTTCTTGGGGCACACCGAAACTGAAATTGCTTTTATTCACTTGCTATTCTTTAATTTCCGGCAGGGTGACGGCGCCGACGCTGGCGCTAGCCTCCAAAGGAATCTCGGTATTTCTGCCTCCTTGATTTATCTTTTTATTTTTATTTTAAGGTTTGTTTTTTTTATGCCAATTTTGAAATCTGATTAATCGAATTCATCTAACAAAGCACTACCTACTAAAAATCTCAATATTTTTGTTACATTTTTTCATTCAATTAATTTTATTTTTTATGATTTTTCACACGGTATGAAGAAAAAAGAAAGAAAAAAAACAGTTTAAGTTTAGTTTTGATCTTTTAACTCAAAAGTAAAAACTTTATTTCCGTATTCTTTTTCTAGGGAAAAAAAGTTAAAAAATTTACCTTTCTATTTTCAAATATTATTTATATTTAACCTAATCATACATTTTCCAACAAATATAAGTAAATTTGTCAGAAAAATCTGGTTATAACAATCAATTGGAACTTTGTTTCCCGTCTTGTAATCCCCCAAATTTCTACTTGCAGTGCTTCCAATTGCAGCTAACCGCAAAATCCATCGTCTCCTCAAAGTGGTGCTTCTCTTTCTCTTTCTTTCTCTACTTTTCTTCCTCAAATCTCGAATTTTTTTGTTTATTTTCTGTTACATTCAAAATGCTGGCTTCTAAAGGAACAACTTTCTCAGATTGTAGAGTGATGAGGAGTTTATTCCCCCCCTGCAAAGTATGTAATAGAACACTTTTACATGTTTAGATTTCTTTATAAACTCTCTTTATCTGCCTGTTTTGACTCGAAAATGTTGTTTCCCATTATAAAGTGTGAGAAGGTATCATTTTCCTACATATTAAGCCGTTGAATGCAGGGAACCCATGTAATTTGCCTTTTTTGCTTAAACCTCTATTAGTTTATATGTGGTTCTGGGGCATTTTTTTTTACTTCTAAGTAGATATTTGCATTTCAGCATTACTTAATGAAAAGGTTACAAGGTGTTTGACACACTAGTGCGAGAGTATTTTATGGAAAAAAATGATTTGTCCCTAAATCAAATTCTTGGAATTGGGGTCGTTTGGTAGGGAACAAGTTATCCCGGGATAAGTTATTCCACCATGTATATGGGATAACTTATCCTATCAATAAGGTATAAATGGTGGGATAAATAATCCAAGGGTAAAATAATTCTGCATTTTATCCTGGGATTATTATACCTTATACCTCACACCAAACGACTGCTAAATGTGTTACATAAGGTAATCAATACCTTTCAGTTTCTGGTCCAGAGTAGTGCATAAGAAGTTTATGAACTAATCAGCTCTATAAAGGAATCAATACCTTTGATTTTCTGGCTCTTCTAAATTTGACTTAAAAAATCAGACCTCTTTAATCATATCATATTATTTTGGTTATCCAGGTTTCACATATACCAGTTGTTAGCTTTGGACGCAAAAGATCGTTAAAAATCTACAGTGCAAAAATGGAGCTCTCAATCACACAACCTGATGATTGGCATCTTCATCTCCGTGATGGTGATGTTCTAAAGGCAGTTGTCTCTCACAGGTTTCTAGTTTTAAATACTTCAGCTGATTGTGATTCAGTTTATACTTTATATTTTACTTCTTGTCCCACTTTGTTAAATTCGGTTTCTCTATCTTGATTTTGACTTGTTCATTTTTGCATTATTTGATAAAGTGCACATCACTTTGGGAGGGCAATAGTCATGCCAAATTTGAAGCCTCCTATCACTACCACTGCTGCTGCTGTAGCATACCGGGAGGCGATATTGAAATCTTTACCTGTTGATAGTGATTTCAACCCTCTTATGACACTTTATTTGACAGATACAACCAGTCCTATGGAAATCAAACTAGCAAGTAAGTCCAATATACTTTTGATATGGAAATATCTTGCATTAAAAATATATTAGGTGTTATTCTTCTATATTATGACTGTTTTAACGGTGCGTGTTGATATTCTTCTATCAGAGAGCATGCATGAATCTCAGGAAACAAAAATAAATTTCAGTGAATGATAATGGTTGTATTTAAGCATCAATAAGATCATGACAGGAAAGGCACCAGTAGAAAGCCAATTTGTGAAACTTTGAAGTAGAGTTGAAATTTGAGAGACATTGTAATTCTTTGTTAAATCTCATCTTAAAGCTAAGTGTAATTCCCAATTTGTTCTCAAAACATTAAAACTGAAGGCTAGATTCTTGGCTATGCCAACCTTTTTTTTGGTCCTTTTATTATGTCTACTTTCGTGTCAGATCATAATCCTTGAAATTTGAAGTCAGTATTACAAGCTTCTTGTCCTTTATAAAGTCAGGGTCTACTCTCCTGTGAGGAAATTTGAACATGTCAAAATTTGTAGCATTTAAGTTGAACTGATTGTGTATTGTCATCTGGGTGCAGTTTTTTCCAATGTGAATGACCCATGTTCCTAATTTTCTTTCCATGAAAGCATTTAAGAATCATCCTTTTTTCCTTTTTCTTTTGTTGTTTTATCTATTTTTTGTCCACTATTTCTGATAAAATGAGACTAATAACACAGGAGAGAGCCAGGTCGTATTTGGGGTGAAGTTGTACCCTGCTGGTGCCACGACAAATTCTCAAGATGGAGTGACTGATCTTTTCGGGAAGTGTTTACCGGTTCTACAAGAAATGGTTGAGCATAATATGCCTCTGCTGGTAATGCTAAACTTGGTGCTAAGCTTTCTTCCTGTTCCTCTAGAACATTGCATAAGCTCTAATGTGCATGCTAACGTTACCACCAAAAAATTGCTATTTATCACTGTAGAAAGATGCACATTCAAAGTTGTATCATGTATCTGTTGAAGCTATACATGATTAATGTTATTTCTTGCCTATGCTATAGCTTTTCTAGTTTCAGTTTATCTTGGATCGCTATAAAATAGATTCAGCATTTAACTGTAATGACTCAACCTTAATCATGTTTCTTCTTCCCCCAAATGTTCTGTCAAAGTTTGTGATTTTTGTCATTTTCCTTGAAAGAACTTCATTTTATAGGATTTTTATGTATTACATTTGACTGCAGGTTCATGGAGAGGTTACTAATCCTGAGGTTGACATGTTTGATAGAGAAAAGGTATTCATTGAAACGGTTCTAAGACCGTTGGTGCAGAAATTTCCACGATTGAAGGTCGTGATGGAGCATGTTACCACCATGGATGCTGTTAAGTTTGTTGAATCTTGCACTGAAGGTAGTCTTTTCTACTTTATCCACCTCTTTGAACTTTAGTCTTCTTGTCAGATGAAAGAACTTCATTGACCTTCCTTTTTCAAATGCTAATTTAACCTTCCTATCATTCTTTAAAGGATTTGTTGCAGCGACTGTCACCCCACAACATCTTGTTTTGAACAGGAATTCTCTCTTCCAAGGGGGCTTACAACCACATAATTACTGCCTTCCAGTCCTCAAAAGAGAGATCCACAGTAATATCCTTTATCCTTTCATATTGATGCTCAAATTCTCTTATATCGCTTGGTGTTTGTCTGTCGGTTGCAAGAACAACCATGAAGTAACATTACTTTTAATTTGAAAAACCGACTAGGATTCTTTGGTTAACCACCTGTAGTGACTACAAGGTCATATAGACCTTGTTTGGTTCAACAAAGGGGACAAGAACTTCATTTTTTTCTCATGCATAATGCATTTACCATTAACCTCCACTTGCTTGGTTCAACTCAACTAAAGTGGAAGAGGTTAATTTCCTTATTTCCAATTTTAGATGGTTTTGAAAAGTTGAGGAATTGCATACTTACACTTGCATTTTAACAAACAAGGTTAATTATTTTCTTCCAGTGTGATAGGTAACTTGAGCAAATTAAGTGTACAGTGCTAGCATTCTATGCTTCTACTTCATACATGAACCTTAATAGAATTGCATTCAGTATCCTAATCAACATAAGCTGGACAATATACTAACACTATCAACAAAAGGAAAACATATCAAGCTCAAGGCCAGATGCTTAGTTCTACTTTTTTGTTGGGAAGTTTATTTTTGTCCATTCTTGGAGTTGACTCTTCCTACTTTTGTAATTATGCATCTGCTGGATGCTTTGTTTATCAATACACCATTTATTTCATCAAAAATGAAATAAAATATCAAGTTGAAGCAACAAGCTTCACATCCTAGTATGCAGGGATCCCAATGGGTTTGTTGATGTCACAGTTCTTACCTTCTCCAGCAAGCCTTTTATTGCACTCTCCAACTCTAATTTCTCCTCAGTATTAATCTTACCGTTGCATTTTCCCAAGATTGATGTCATCCCTTTCAGCTTCTGCTTGATTAGTTGTACCTGTGACTTCCCCTTACCTGCTTTCAGCAAGGAGAGTGGAGTGACAGAGTTGAGGGATAAGAGCTTAAAGTTAAATTTACAGCACCAAAAGGACTTTGATGTACTGATTCTCTGAAGGCATCTTCAGCATCTGAACAGTGCTTGAATCAGATTACACTTCTGTTTCCTTTTTATTCAGATCCCAAAACTTGTTATATATTTGGATAATTTCATCCTCTGATGGCAAAGCCAGTTGAAAATTTCACCATCAGAATCACAGATGAAGTTCCCCTACCATCATCCTCATCTTCGGTTCCTTGACTAGAATCCCAGATGCTTTATTGATAAACCAACAGTGCTTTGCCATCTATTGATAAACCATTTATGAATCACTGTTGGGTCTGTTTGGCGCCAGCTTCGAAGCTTGAACTGTTTTGCTCTCCCACTGTGGAATCCTGGCCATATCCGTGAATGATCTTGTATTATGAATAAGCTTATTGAACCTTGGGTTGGAAGGCTTCCTCAAGAACCGCAAGATTTTTCCGGCTATGTCACCCCAACCCCAAATGTGGCCATCCTCTGGGATTATGATAGCAGACTTTTTGTCACCCAACCAAGACTCAATCCTCACATAACGACTCTAACATTGAAATTTTGGAACTCTTTAAGTATACACTTGAATCTTCCTACCCCATCTTCTACACAAATTACCTAACCTGTGTGACGCTTGTTGAAGAATTTCGCATGCCTTTGGCAGATTCTCCTCATCAATGTTGAGTCTGCTAGTGAATCAACTGCTTTATTCTACTATCGTGATCTTCATTGTTGCAAATATCAATAAGTTCAAATGACTTATCTCCTGAAACAAAGAAAGTTCTCTTCTTCATAACTTAATAAAAATCATCGGAAGAGTTCATCGGAGAGAGGATAAGGAGTGAAAGAAAGAAAAGAGAAATTGCACATTTCCCAAGAGAGAGCATTGTTTTAGCATAAGTTCTTAATCAACCTTTTCAGCAGAATAGTGTAGCATGATTTAACTGTAAGTAGACATCTTTCTTGCTCCTCCAACAAATGTTGTCCTTCTTGTCTGTGCGTAAGGAGCAAGTCGCAAGTTAAAGAGAACTGCAGTTTCTATCAACTACCCAACCATTGCAATGCCTTCTAAAAATGACGTGCAAGCCATTTTCGAGTAATAATCGGTTACGCATTCTGGTTGGCTGCCAGAGTGGATACACACTTGAGAGGGGTATGGCCCGGCCAAAAGCTGATTTTTCTACCATTTCCCAACTTGAAACATGTTTTTCCTATGACTTCATCAAAAGAAAGTCCAGATGCCCTCACCATATTTGGGCTAGTAAGCTTTGTTATCCACAGGTGTTACATACCATATTTGGTCTCGATGACTTATTCCGTTGTGCATTCTCACCATTTGTGAATCTCTATAACCATTTGTTTAAGAGGCTATCATTGTGTGCTTTCAAATTCCTCTTTTCTTTTTTTTTTACTTTCAGATTCCTTACTCCAAGGCCTCCATATTTTTATCTTTCTGGACAGTTTCCCATTAGCATGATTAAAAGTTTTCTCGTCTCTATTTTCGTTCCAGATTCAATGAATCTGATCAATTTATTGGCCAGAGATTTAGGAATGGGGGATAAAGAGATCCTGTAAGTGGGAAGTGAGTCCAAAACACTATTTGTGAAAACTAATCTGCCCTTGCTTATACTTCGTCAAATCAAATCTAAAAGCCTATAATCTTTTTGGAATATGGCATTTTGATCTTGTTTTATGGATTATCTATAAGATATACTGTCACCATAACAAAGAAGAATTGGATTAAACGGCTATTGAGCCATCTACCCTGAAATTTTGAAAGTTGGGTAGAAGCTATATTTGCCTGTAATTGACCCTCTTTTTGTCTGGAATAATTTGTTGAAAGTTTCTTCTTCTACCTGATTTTTTTACCTCTTTGTAAGAGTTATGACTACCCTGAAATTTTGAAAGTTAGGTAGAAGCTATTTGCCTGTAATTGACCCTCTTTTTGTGTAGAATAATTTGTTTGAGAGTTTCTTCTTCTACCTGATTTCTTTTACCTCTTTGTAAGAGTTATGAAAGTCTTAAGTCTTACTGATGCTAATGTGTCACGAATCACTACTTGATCAGGCTCTCTTTGATTTGCTAGTTCTATCCATTGCCTTTTGTTTTCCTAGACATGTGAACTTGTTTGAACATTTGATGCAAACACTGCTGTGAATGTGCTTAAAAAAAAGGAAATGAATGTATGGCCTGAATGTCCTTGTTGAAACAAGGTGCTTCCATATCTTTTTAAGAATTTGCCATTATGGGGGGCATGTTTAATGAGACTTGGAAAAGTACTGAGTGCTTGAGAAAAAACTCATCTTTATTAATAGACTAGATAATGTTGCCCGTGCATAATATAAATGGTATGTTTTGGGGCTAACAATCGAGTTTTTGAAGCTATTGTTTGCGTGGATAAATGAATAAGTTTCTTTTATCATAAACCTGTACTTTCTTTGACGCTATTTAAGGCATAATAAGACTACCACATACAACATTTTTGAAATATTTTATGTTGTCAATTACCATGATTTATAGTATTTTTACGATAGATTCACTTCAAGAATCAGTGGAATTTTTTGTATTTTTTTCAAAACATATTTTATGTTGTCAATTATCATGATTTATAGTATTTTTATGCAATTTTTAAATATAAAAAAAAATAAAAAAAATAAGACAAATAAATTAAAATGGACCCAATATATGTTATTTTTGTTGTCTCAATTTATGTGACACAAATGAAATTAGGAGAGTCATCCAAATTTTCATATGTTTTTAAAAAAAATGTTAAGTTATTAATTATTGTGATTTATAATATTTTTATGTAACTTTGAAATAACGTACATTACTGGTCACATTGTCTTAATTTATGTGATATGGATAAAATTACAAAATTAACCCTTTTAAAATATCTATATTTTAAGTTGTTGATTATTATTATTTATAATATTTTTTTGGTAATTTTAAAATGATATGTGTTATTTTTTCTGTTCCAATATATGTGAGCCTGATACAATTCTAAGAGTCAACCTATTTTATTATATAACTTTTAAATATTTTAAATTGATAATTATTGTAATTTTTAATGCTTTTTAAGTCATTTGTAAATGATATATGTTGCTTCCTTGATTGGGACTTTTCCATTTGTGATATATATATATATATATATTTCAATCAAGGAAACAACATATATCATTTATAAATGACTTAAAAAACATTAAAAATTACAATATATATATATATATATATATACATATATATTATTTTAAAAGGGAGTTTATGCCCAAGTTCTACTATATAATAAATATAATATATAATATTCAAGAAAGTCCCAATCTTGAATATTATATATTATACTTGGGCATAGTAGAAATTTTAAAAGTCCCACAAGTATAATATATAATATTGAAAATTGGGAAAAGTCCCAATCTTGAATATTATATATTATAATTGGGCCTAAACTCCCTTTTATAATATAGTAGAAAATATAGTATAATATATAAAATAAAAATAAAATATAGTACTATTTCAATCTATATTATAAAAGGTAGTTTAGGCCCAACTTTTCCCAATCTTGAATATTATATATTATACTTGGGCCTAAACTTCCTTTTATAATATAGTAGAATATAGTATAATATATAAAATAAAAATAAAATATAGTACTATTTTGTACTATATTATAAAAGGGAGTTTAGGCCCAAGTATAATATATTATACTTGGGCCTAAACTCCCTTTTATAACATAGTATAATATATAAAATAAAAATAAAATTATAATATTCAAGATTGAGACTTTTTCCAATCTTGAATATTATATATTATACTTGGGCCTAAACTCCCTTTTATAATATAGTATAATTCATTACTCTTATAATTACAAGATGTACTGCATTAGTCTTGTCCCCTTTCTCCTACTACTTGTCTTGTTCTAATCTAAGCAAGTTTGCTTTGAATAACACAGGGGAGGCGCTTGTGTCAGCTGTAACAAGTGGAAGTAAAAGATTTTTTCTTGGGACTGATAGTGCTCCTCATGATAGACGAAGAAAAGAGTGTTCTTGTGGATGTGCTGGTATTTACAATGCACCTGTAGCCTTGTCAGTATATGCGAAGGTGTTTGAAAAGGTAATTACAATAGATCCTCTCATGTTGGACTCATCCATGTTATAATGTTTCTAATTACTTCAATTAGTTTAGTAGCTATCGCTATAAGTCAATGACTTTTGCATTTTAGGAAAATGCACTCGACAAGCTTGAAGCATTTACTAGCTTCAATGGACCAGACTTTTATGGGCTTCCTAGGAACAACTCAAAGATTAAGTTGAGTAAGACGCCATGGAAGGTACCCGAATCCTTTTCTTATGCATCAGGAGATATTATTCCCATGTTTGCTGGTGAAATGCTCGACTGGTTGCCGGCTCCTCTCTGAGAGATTCCTCTTCTCATTTGTCATTCTTGTACTGTAATATTGTGATTCAACCAAAGATATAGACTGTAGGTGTATCCTTTCAGCTAATAAATTATTATGGAAGCAATAAGATTTCTGGATGTGACTGAACGTAAAGCTTCGATCCATTATGATTCATTTTAAATTAAGATCAGGTTTAGTACAGCAGGGTCACCAAAGTGTTCTGAAGTTTTTAAATTGTTCGTTTCATTTTGAAGATTTACTGATTATGCCTTCCTTGCTTATTATGACTTCTACAATTTTCAAACCAAATTTTACGAAGAAAAGAGAGTTGTTCTCCTAAGTTTCCATTTTTAGTGATGCATTAATGTCATAGACACTAGCAACAATGTACAAGAACTATATATTTGGAGCAATTGGATATTAAAATTAATCAGCATTTGTTAAGAAAGAAAGACAAAGACACCTCGAAAAGGAAGAAGATGTGCAGACATCTGAGAACCATTACATGAACGAAGCAAAATAATTGATTAGTCATATCTTTGAAAGTTCGAATCACATTTGACAGGAATGCAGACAATATTTTCAAATTAACAAATTTCTGACATATTAACAAGGGTACTACTGTATCTGAAATTCTGAATCTAACAATGTAAGAGGAGCTCAGTGAAATACTTGACCCTCGGCCAAACTCCATGTATGATCTCACATCCAAAAAAAGTAGTATGCCAAAATTATATCACAAGCCACAGCATGAAACCAGATTCCGGTTAGGTGTTAAAACTGTTCATCATATATCTTCTTTGCCTCATGCTGGTAGTTGAAGCTTAGCGTTATTTTTCCAGCTGCGAAACAAATTTGTTAGTAGTTTGTTTACGTCATCAAGGGAGGAGCCACTTCAGGAAGTTTTAACAAATTGTTACCTGATGAAGTAATAATAAAAGAAATCTGCATAAAGGGCTGTCTGGACAAGACCAGAGACGCAAGCTACAAAATAGAAAAGGAAAATTCAACTTCAAAGAACCATTGCAAGTAATTGAAAACAAACAGTACTGGTTATACTTCCAAAAACTTACAAATCCATCTAGTGAAACGCTGCTCTGTCAGATAGCGGTAAATCCAGTTTAAGATGTAAAATGCACGGTAGGCCCTGTGATCGCATAAAACCAGCACGTCAATAACAATACCCAATCAATCTTAACTAATTGAAATCAAATTGTAAATGTCATTGTGTGACATTGGAAAGGAACACATGCCGCATGTACATAATTTATTAACTTCTAATTGTTAGATCCTTTCAGCTCCAAGCATTATAATATAAAACAAAACTAAGAGATGATAAATATGGGTAGACAGTGAGAGAATGGTGCGAGAAAGGGAATCATTTTCCCTTGTCTTGCAGAGACATGGCTAATAAAGTGCTGTCAAAAAAAATGTTCCATCGCTCAAGAAAACATTTAAATGGAAGACTTCATCATTTCTGTAGCTTTATGCTGTAGTTCCGATCTGAAATAGTGGCATTCTACACAGACATAAATCACATGATTTAATAGATCTGAATATCTCTTTCATTGCAATCAAGCTATAGAAAGATTTTGTTTAAAGTCACAGCACGGGCACTCAGCTCGAAAAAGGAACAATTTATTGTGTTTGCCTTATTATGGAGATGCTCATGGCAAGCAATCACAAGAGAGGGAACGTTAGCTCAAAGCAAACATATAAAGGTTAGACCAAATTTAAAACACAACAAGATGTCAATGCTTGATCAGATTCATTTCATCGGGCGCACACAACAATAATGGCATCAAAGTTAAACATGCTGCCTAAAAAAATAAAGGCATATCCTCTAGCAGCAATAACACTTGTGTTCGTTCTCTAGGTACGTCCTCAAATGACAGTGTTTCGACTGCCAAAGGAGGCTCAAGATTCTAAGTGCCAACAAGCTAAGTACAATTAAAGTACCTCAATCTAATGCCTAATAATACTAGGAAAATTCCACAATCTTCATAAGGAATCAAGTTATGACTACCCAATATCCTTGAAAACTGAAGAATGTCATTTAAAACTCAATACATATGGCAGATTTATCCGTCTAGAAATCCGGCAACAATCATTCTGAAAATTATCCTCAATAATGGAAGTACTGCTGTAGGTAAGAAGCTAATAAAATTCATCAAATTAACTGGCCAACCGAGTTAGGCAGCCTATGAAAAAGGCTATTCATACGTAAAGCCTTGAAAAATTGTACAGATGTTGACACCAAAGTCACATGCAAAACTGACTGTAATAGCAGTTGAATTGTGGTGGAAGAAGGATCATTGAAGTCGGGATGGATTTTGTATGTAGATGTGTGGTGGGCATGTATGGGGGATGTCATGAAAAAGTTGCCCAGTAGCACAGAAATTGAAAGGTGGGAAATACACATCAAGAACTGCACTAGAGATAAATGTCAAAGAGAGGAACCACATTCCCTTACTGTTCTGAGTTCACCTCATAAACCAAAGCACAAAGAATCAAAGCTGGAGTATGGTACTAAAGATTAGGAATTCCTGGTGGACTTATGATCATATTAATGTAATACTGTGACTTTTGAAGAAAAAAGACAAATGGGTCGACTGGATGAGAGTTTTCAGAGGGGACCGTGACAGGGACACCCTCTACCAGCTTTTCTCTTCAGATTGTTCAACTGAGAGGAATGTTGTATATAGCTATGGACAAAGGTTGGATAAGACTTTCAAAGAGGGCACAAAAAGGAACAAAACAATCACTATCTCAAAGTTCCTCTATGTTGACTCAAATTTTTAAGATATCTGTGAGTCACGACAATACTATTGGTTTTGTGGCAGTTTCTGGGCTTCATAAACCTGGCAAAGAGTATCTATTCCTCATTCTTGGAAGGATGTTGGGATAGAGAGATGGAACTTTTCCAGCACCATGCATGGGACTTCCCTTTTAGGGGCAAGCAACAAAAATGCCTCAAAGTGGCAGGAGGTAATTGCTTCTTTAAGCTCTGCTCCAACCTATACAAGTTGAAAGTTTGGGAACAATTAGCCACTTGGAAGAAACATTACCCATCCATGGATTGTAAGTTGACCCTCATAAACCGTGTACTTGAGGGTATCCTGGTCTATGAAATGTCCCTATACCTCATAACCCGTTCCGTCAAGAGTGCAGAGGCAGTTGGATAGAATTAGGAGAAACTTCGGAGGTAACTCTGGAAAGAAAAAATTCACTTGTGAAATAGACAGCAGTGACTATTGTAATTGGTAAAGAAGGAAAGTGATTTAGCTGAGAAAAACTGAGGCTGCACAATACAAGTCCCTATTATTAACATGGTTGTGCAGTTAGTAATGAACAAGAAAGTCTTGAAGAATGCCATCAAAGAAAAAGTATGCATGAATGAATCTTGGTGCACAAATCCAATATGATCAGCTCATTGTTAAGCAATGAAACTTAGAATATATTGAGGGAGCCATACAATGTCAAAAAGAATGTTAAGGTAGATGATGGTGAAAAAAATATAAGATGGTGGCAAGATGCTTGGAGGTGTGGGTATTGGTGAACTGATCCAGTATCAACTCACGGATTTGCAACATGAATATATATAAGAAATTTATGGGATGATTCTCTTCCAGGGTGAATCTTAAGGTAGGTGATGGGAAAAAGATAAGAAGGCGGCAAGGTGCTTGGCTTGGATTCCTTAAAGGAGGAAATCCCATATCTATAGACCTTTTGCCACATTTTGTTGAAGCCACGAAACCTTAATGCAAAAATAAACAGAAAAGCTTAGATTCAAGAAGAATTGCCAGCACAATGGTTTCTGAAAGAATTGCCATGGACTGCGAGGTCTGCAGATGAGCTTGGGTCTTTTGAGAAGTTAGAGAAGGAGGGGCTAACTTCAGGATCTAATTCACTGTTTGATGCACAGAAGACTTTTCAGTCAAGTAAATTGACAAAACCAAGCAACAACCACTCACTGGGGCAAGAAAAATGTTTAAGAAAAGAAAAAGCACCTTCAAAAACAGCATGTTCTGTCTATGTATAAAGCCAACCTAACTAGGACAGCCTGCAGAGTAAGGAAATCATTACTTGAAATTATGTTACACATGATAAGGATTCTCAGGACCCAAGATATCTTCTTTTGCACTCTACTCTAACATGGAAGATCTAGAGTATGTTCCTAAATCTATTTCAATCTCGGTGGTTAAAGCACAGTATTGAAGAATGCTTTTATAACCTGGAGAAGACAGAAACTAGAAAGACAATTAAGATGGAATACAGTTCCACCACACATCCTTTGGCTTATGGAAAGAGAGAACCAATGCTTCCAAGGAAGAATAAATGTACCACATCGTTTCAATTTCAAATGTTTACAATCATTTGTAGATGATATAGATTTGTGGATGAACTTCATTAATTCCTTGCACAGTTAAAACTGAGACAAGCCTTTTCTAGCGCTACGTAAACGTAAAATACCAGCACTCTATTGGCGCTATGTCGCAAGCAAATTTGCAATATTTATGAAAAAAAATGATGAATTGTCAAATTTCAGCTATGAGTGATAATAGAACTCAGATTAAAAAAAAATAGATATGGCCAGATCAGTACAAAATTTCTACAATTTTCAACATATGATGCAATTTGCAAAACAATTCCCTTTTTAAGAATTGGCCAGATTTACTGGAGAGGAAGCATACCCAAGGAAGAACACATATTGTCCGGCCAGATTATCAACATTTCCACTTCTTTGCAAGAGCACCAACTGGGGAAGAATGGCAACTGCCTCCAGGTATATTGAGAAAGCCCAGAATACCTGGAGCAACATTATACATAGCATCAATAGTGTAAACAGGGAGCGAGCAAATATAAATTCGAGAATCAAGACTATCCCAGAAAAGGAAAAGGAAACAAGTAACACGATCTCTGCCACAGGGTCTTCGCGGAAATTCTAATCAGTCATTCAGAGAAATGAATGGCAGCTTATTAGTAGAGCACCTCGCAACCAAGTGTAAGGTTCAATCCTTACCAGTGCTCTCCCCACCCCCCACCCACCAAAACCTCCTCTCCACTTACCTTACCTCCCCACAAAATAAAAAGAAAAACTCAGTCATTAACGAAACAAACAGATGGGTCTGACTATAACGATACCATGAATACTGAAAAATCTCAGTATCTTTTTTGCCTCCTAATGTGCTAGGGTGATGGATGAGCTCATTCTTTAGCAGCCAGGACGGACAAACAATATCTGGAGATGACCAAAAGGGTAGGGGAGCCAAGAATGACATAAAAGATGACATTGCAAATGATATAGACAAGAAGATGTCTTTACTCATGCAAACTGCAATGTAGCATAATAGGAACAACACCAAGTCATAAAAAACCTGCACTAGAAACCAAGCCCATACACATGAAGAGTTGCAATGACCTAGTAGGGTTTTAGAGGGTAAGAATAAGTTCGAGGGGGTTCAGCTGACTTTTAATAGGGGAAAGTAGCCTGAGTCAAATATAAAATAGACAAGATCAAACTTCAGTCGCAACTTTGTCGGCCCTCCATCTGGATAAATCATCATAACAACATCTCAATACTAAAGGAAATAAGCAAACAACAAATATAAATGGCTATTACAGAAATTATTCTCGAAGGGGGCAGACTGACGTTAACGGGCTGATTAGTTAAGGTTTGCCAAATCACATGACTGCAAACATATCATCTTAACATATTTCAAGGTGCTGATTGTATATTGTCAACGTAAAAGGGTTTATATCTTGTCATGAACAGAGGCCATCAAAAAAATGGATCACCTTCAGAAGGTCTGTACAAGCACTACCTCAAGGGTTGCTATAACCATGTACATGCAGAGTAGCATGTGAGTAATAAGCACAAACATTTTATAGTGTTCATTCACTAGTGATGGACTGATTTTGCGAGAATGTTCATGCTGTAGGTTCCAAATCCGAATAAAATAGGAGAGTTGCGTAGGCAGGCAGTCTGCATAAAACTAGTCAATTTGCAATTGATTCATAATGCAGAATATATCATTGAAAGGTATCCACCTAGCCACGCATTACATCAGCACCCGGGTGTTTGAGATGAGATTAAATGGAGCGACATGGGAATGATGATTCATATAGCCGACCCAAACTACCTTGGATAAGAAATAGTTGTTGTATTCAAGTTCACTATATATGGACTCAAAGCACACAACATTTGTAGGATGAAATTCACTATTTCACAGTAGCCAGCCTATGGAAATTCTGAAAATATGGTTGTTGCAAGCACCAACAGGATGTTGTGCTTGCCAAGATCAACTTCACATAAGCAACCATCTATCATTACAAAATTATGTGACAATAAGCATGATTATCAATGCTAGGACAATCCACATGAAAAATTTGGAACACTTAGAAATCACTAACCTCTTGAAGGGTAAATTTCTCATGAAGAACAAGTGCCAGAATGAAAGACGCCCCAAGAAGAATCCAATAACGAAAAGTGTCTAGCTCACGGTCATATGAGCGCCTGACAACCCGATGGTACCTCATACACCAGACAATTGCCAAAGAGCTACCAATAAAAACCAGTTTCATCACAGTGTTGTAAAGAGAGATGAAGTCAGTGAACAAATCCAGATACCGAGTCACGAACACAATAGCATATAACTCTTGCGTCTTCAATGATATTCCTGAATACAGCAAAGACTCTCAATCCAACTATTTTCCAGCTAAACGTTAGCCAGATTTCAGCATAAGTATACTTCAAGCTACCGGTGAATGCAACAAGTACATATATTTTATTTGTTATTTAAAGAATAGGTCATCTTTCATTTTTTTTCCGATTCTTTTTGTATTTTTAGGGGGAAAGGAGGGGGCAATACATAGACAATGATATTTTACACCATCTAGTATTCTGTTAAATTACCTGTCACATCAGAACTAATACCAATGTGCCATGACTTACCAAATTTGTAGTCTGTGTCCTAACATACCATACTTCATCTGGTTTGTTGATATACTTTTATTGACAACATTCCATGCAATCGAACACATTGACACTGTCTTTTCATATTTTCAAATTACCCACAATGCCACTGATTTCACTAAATGCCCTAATGAATCCATATATCTACTTAATACGTGGCAAGAAGAAAACCTAGTTAAAAGCTCCCGGGTTCAAAGAAGTTTCAAAATTCACAGATTTCCTCAGTAAAATAAAAAAGAATGCTCACTCGTTGCAATCTCTCAGTAGGTATAACATCATCCAATTCCTAGGAGTTTCAGGAGTTGTAAGTAACTACTTCCTTATAAATAATGTATCCTGTGCATTGTCCGATTCACTAATTAGCACATAAATGGAATAATGCTCACTCTTAGTTTATCAAATGAACATTCATTTTTTCAGTCATGAACTGTTCAATGAAACCCAATCAAACACACCTTATTCACTCTACAAAGTCCAATCAATACATAATTCAATTCCAATTCATACAAAATCAAAAACATAACTCGCAATTTTAAGAGCCAATCAGATACGGTCATTCATGTATAAAGCAAAACTACTGATTCAGGTTTCAACACGAATAAAGTCGACGAAATTAATAGAAAACAGTACCTTCTGATGCAAAACTACAAAATATATACAATAGCTGATCGAGGAACTGGGAATGAAAATGCAAGTTGGAATAAGAACCTGAGCATGATTTGGTAGCGTAGATTTTCAGGAGGAGAACTAAGACACTAATCAAATGTGTCATGTCCCCAGCCAGTCTGAAGATATTCATGATTGCTACTGCGAAAACCGCCCTATTCCAGCCCTAGATTGTTCACGATTAGAGTCAAATCCTGATGAAGATTAGGGGTTTGTCGGGTTGGGGATTGCGGGTTGTGGATTGGAAGTAGAAACGAAATAGAACTGGATTTTTGGAATTTGTTTTGGGATCAAAATACTTGACACAGCAAATCATTTTTGTATTTGTAATGTAAAAATGCCCAAGATACACGTGTCGGTTCCAAACGTCCACGAGGCATGTATGTGTCGAAAACGATACTCTACTATTTAGTTCAAAAAATTTATTTGTTTTAACTGAGCGTTTTAGATTTGAAAAGAGTAAAAAATATCTCCAAAGTCATTTTTTGTTAATAGTTTTATTCGGTCATGTATTTATTATTTTATTTTATTAGGTAAAAATATTTTTATTTCACATAAAACTTAACTAAGAGCATATTCAAATCTACACGTATAATAAATACTAGTCCTGGACACGTGCTTTGTACGTGAGTCCTGTGAAAGGTATGAATTACTGTCAAAATTATATTTTAATCAGTATCACAAGCTATTAAAAAATATAATTTAAAATAGATGAACAATCAATGTATTCAAATAACATCTTTATTGTATGTCAAATGGTTAGACATTTGATGAACTTGCAAAATTTAGTTTGATAACTAAAATATTGAGTTACATTTTTAAGTTATTAGGTCCAAACATATGGTATATTAGTATGTGCAAAAATGAAAACAAAATGATTAATGGTTCTCATATAAATGCACAATAAGAAAATTTCTACATATACCTTAAATTGATATCTATACTTCAAGTCCAACAACCATACAATTCTAAATGCTTTATGGAAGAAAAATTTTATAATGGAGAAAGAAAGCAAGAACGAAAAGTTTAGGATATTGCAAAGAAAATCCTCATGCTCTTAAAAGAAAACTTTGTTATTGTTAGAGACAACATATCAACATATCAACATATCAACATATCAACATAAGATTGTTCACTGTTTAATACTACAATTCATGTAGTAAATTTACTCTTTTTTTTTCTGTTGCTATTTTTTCTTCTTGATTACCAATTTTCAACATTTTTTTTGGTTATCCTCACTTGCAACTTCTAACTCTCTTACCTTCTCATGTTGAATTGTGCAATTTCCTTAATTCGATTTCCTATTGTGAGCTTCCATCTTTATAAGTTGGTTCTTAAATAGCATTAAGAAATGACCCTTTAAATTCAAATTTTAATTTTGAAATTGATTTCTACATCAAAGTGATGAATGATTTTCCATATCATAACTTTTCAAATTCTTCCATTATGAGATTTATGATTACGATTAAAAGCAATATCAATGTACTCATTTATCAAAAAAATGATAATTTAATTATTAAAGGGATTAAAAACTTCAAATTCTACCATTATGTAATTATAATATTTATATTTAATCAAAATTTAATTTAATTAGTAGAGGGGCAAAATGGTAATTCAATTTTTCACTTTGGAGCTTCCACTTATAATAATATATGATAAGAGCACACTTTTATAATTTAATTATATTTTCAACACCCCATCACGTGCGGGCTTGATTATGGCCAAGCACGTGAAAATTCATTTTCATTTGGGTGGCGGTGAGATTTTTTCCCAAGACCTTTGTTTGCTCTGATACCATGTTGAAGTATGTGACCATCTTATCTAGAAGCTTAAGTTGTTAGAGAGAGCACACTTTTATTATTTAATTATATTTTCAATACTTATAGAAGCACTCAACGCATTGATAAGCTTATAGAAACACTCAACTCATAAGCAATGTACATAGTGGCAATTGTCTATGCCAAACTCTAACTTGAATTTGATTATGTCATAGGTACAAAAAGTGAGGAGATATTCAAAACGACATGCATATATGAAAGATCAATAGATCAGTAAGGTGCAATAAAAATAACATCCTGTAAATCTAGAGAGAACAAATGTAATTTTGAAATAGAAAACATTGAAATTGAGACCTCTCATTACGGGAGAACAACTCCATTCATTACACTACATATTTATGATATTAAACTATTTGTGCGTCCTTTGTTCAATTTTAGAAGATCATCTCTAACTAATTATAGTTGTATAAGAGCTTATTATTAATCGCTTCTAACTAAAATCATCATATGTATCATGAGTCCACAATAACAGCTCAAGCCGCCTAAGAATATAAATGCAACTAATAAAGAAAAGGGAGGGGACTTACTGGAACCCAAATATAATTGATGTCAATACAAATTTGAACCTAAGTAGAGGACATTTGAGATTTTAAAAAAATAAGAAAATCAAGAAAAAGAAACATAGACTCTAGAATTGAGAAGGTTTTTTTTCATTTTAAAAAAAAGACACTCTTAGAAAAGAAGGGAAATGAGACGGCAAAAGGAAGATGAAAAAGATTAACGAAAAATAATAAAATTAAATTTTTAGATATGCTAGTTCACCGTCAACCAATGATATATTGAATGGCTAGAATGTCCCTGATTTGAAAACTAAATGCCTAATAATAGATATATTAAAGCAAGTTTATTTTAGAATATAAATATAAAAAATTTTAAAAATTATTTTGTCAAATTAAACCAAATTTCACATATCAAAAGATTTCAATCAATTCATCACAGATTATATGATTGAATAAGTCTAAAACGCTAAGATATGCTTCCGTCAAACATATATTATGTCAATGTAGATTATATAGGTGAGCCATTTGTTTGCCTCATGGCATAGTTATTTGATTTGCAAATGAAAAATATTAAACTTTTACTTTCTACCCATAAGCTATCTTTATTTGTTAAAAGAAAAAAATTATATTAATTATTTAGGTACAGATATAACTCATATTTTTAAAATAACATACAATTTATGATCTTCTAAAATTGAACAAAGGAAGCACAAATAGTTTAATATCATAAATATGTAGTGTAATGAATGGAGTTGTTCTCCCGTAATGAGAGGTCTCAATTTCGAGCTCTGAATAAGAAAAAATCTTGGTAGGAAACACTCTCTTTTCCCGGGACTCCAAGCGGTGCAAATTCAAATTAACACGACTTCAATATAAATATAGAATATCATATCAGAAATTAAAAAAAAAAACTAAGGCAACATTATATTACTGCTGATTTTTTGCCCAAGATATTCAAAATAATTATAATTCAATATTATGTTAACACAATTATTATTTTTCTTCTTATATATATATATACTAGTCATGGACACGTGCGCTGCACGTGTGAGCCATGTTAAGTTGTATCATTCTCTCTCAAGAAACATTTGTATTATAATTCAATATTATGTTAACACAATTATTATTTTTCTTCTTTTATATATATATATATATATATACTAGTCATGGACACGTGCGCTGCACGTGTGAGCCATGTTAAGTTGTATCATTCTCTCTCAAGAGACATTTGTAAAGCATTATTGTCATGAGTGTGTGCATTACTCCAAGTCTAATTGTTGAAATTTCACATAGATGATTAAATTAATTTATATTGAATTTTTGTTTTCTTTGAAGACTACTACTTCCTGAAATCAATTCATTATATGTCACGCGCCGAGCCTACACCCTGGACATGGCCGTCATTCGGTGACCATCGCTGGCCCCAAACGGACCTTTGGTCTGGCTTACTTAACTCAGCGGAAGACTTAAATCAACAGAATAAACTCAATGCAATAGTTTAAATGATAACATCTTAGCCAAAATGACAACTTATGTCTCAAAACAAAGTATTTGCAAATACATAGATGAGAGACACAATACTAACTATCTGACTGTCTATAAAGCCTCTATAATACTGAGATGAATGTTGGGACATACCCCACAACATCCTAATAAAGCAAAACTAGGAAAGCGAAATAACAGAGTCTTCCGGAATGCAAGGAGGCTCACCACTGACTCTGGAGTGCTCAACTGGATCAACAGCATGCTGGATGCTGATTCTGGTTACCTGTGTCTGCATCATAATAAGATGCAGGCCAACTAGCATCAGTACATTGAATGTACGAGTATGCGAGTTGGAAAACTAAACAACAACTTAAGCTTGAAAGAGTAAGAAGGAACACTTACCTTGGCTCTGTACAATTCATGAATAACTGAACTCAATATAAAACAATAAGACACATGCAATATATATATATATATATATATATATATATATATATATAAAGCTTGTAAAATAGTGTAAACAACTTAGTTCGTTAAAGATAAATCAATAACAAACTCATCCTTACTTATATATATAAAAGTAATATAACTTTTATAGGAGATTCTCTAACCGACAACCACCACTATGAGCCTAAGTGGTGATACAACGTCTTGCCCACACTACCAGAACTGTCCTATACTTTGCCGTCATATAGAACGCTTAACTTAGTGGATCCACTAGTGTATGCTAAAAGCATCTTAAGGAGTCATCTAAAAAGTATGATCATTTACTACCCATGATGGCTACATGGTTTATAGAGACTTGAGTTAATATGAACTCGCATCCCCATATCGGTGCTCAATACTACTCCCAAAATATACTTAGCTCATATGTTAGTAAAGACAAAACTCTTTCTTTGAATTGAGGTAATTACTCAAAACTTAGCTTAAAAGCTTTCTTGGAATCGATGTTCCCTTTCTTGCTCAAATGTGAAAACATTTATAAACTCTTTGGGAATACTTAGTCCCCTTATAGTTTTTTGAGAAATGAACTCAACTCTTTACTTTTTACTTAACTTGAAACTTGAACCTAAAAGCGAAGTTAAAACGTTTGTTAAAGACTCGTGAAAACTTTAAGAAACTTTGCTTCGACTTGCTTCTTAACTTTTAGACTTGACTCTTAACTTCTTTGACTTTGATCCTAACTTTCCTTGAATTGAATTATGGATTCAAGGTTCATGATCTCATGTTTATGGATGATTTCATGATGTTTGAATGTACCTTAGAGTGTTGAAATCAACTAGAAAACATAGGTACATCGCTTATGAACAAGTATGAAAAGGTGGGGAACAAATGGGGAGAACTGGCGTCTCTGGCGCTCTGAGAGGCGCGAGGCGCCAGCCCTAAGAGAAGCCTGTCTGGCGCTCTGGCAG